CCCCAAAACCCCAAAACCCCAAAACCCCAAATAAGTATTGAGACTGCTTACAAATAAGATGATCGATAAATAAAATAGAAAACTATTTAAGGTTTGAAATTTATTAAAGATGAAAACTCATTAAGATAGCACAATGTTTCAAAGTGTTATGAACAGCACTGGAAGCATAGGCAATAATAGGTAAAAATCGCAAGAAGATATAAGATTTGAATCTAAAATTGAAAGAGAAATGAGATTAGCTGATAAAAGAGTCCTCATTCTATAAGAAAAAATAGGGAATACATTGAATATGCATCAAGGTTCATTTTCAAAGTATTTCGAACAAATTTCCAATGCTTAAAATCCCATATCTAACAAGTCGTTCTCGAAACTAATGGTAATATAATTGCTTTAATATATTAGTATGAAACAGAAACAATGATAAAAACATATAATTATGCCAAATTTTATGAAAAACAAAGATTATCAAGCTTTGAGTCAATTCAATAAATTTTCAAGGTAAAGTATAACTCTTCTTAATTTTTTTAGAAAAATTAAGCAATAGCAGAGGCAGAACCTATGTTAAAAAAAGTAGAAGAAGAAGTTAAACTTAAGAGAGTAGAAGAAGTGGATGAAGGTATTGATAGAGAAGAATTTAATTGTGAGATAAGTGAGCATATTCTTGAGAGAAATAGAGAAGAGGCAATACTAGTAAAGGAGAAGGTGAAGGAGATTCAAAAGGTTGTTTTGGAATTAGACAAGAAAATCAAAAATGCTTAGATCCTTGAGACCTATGCAGTTCATCAAAAAGAAGAAGCATTGACCTAATATCAGGAATATTTGACTAAGATGCAAAAGATGAAGGAGCAGCAAAAGGATCACAAATAAGAGATGGCCTAAAAATGCAAAGAAATTGAGAAGATCATTGAAAGTAAGAAAGATGTTTAGAAAAATAGAGAAAGAAGTTAAGATATCATTAAAAAAAGAGCTGAAAGACTGAAAAAGAGTATTGAAAAACTTAGAGAGCGAGAATCTAGATTTCAAAAAATTGCATAAAATTAAAAGAATGAAAATGATAGGTTCATAAGTCAGTTTGAAAATCTCTGCAGCAACTTTTAAACAGAAAAGCCTGATGAAATTAATCATAAATACATTCAAAAGACGCTGGAAAACTAAAGTATAGTAAATTGGTTCAATGATCTTGCCAAGCACATTTTCGATTTGAAAATGAAGAAAGAAGAATTATAAAAAGAATTGCAACTCTATATCAGTAATAACGATTTCATGCTTACATAAAACAACACTTTGAGATATGATAAAGGAGAGTATCACGAAAAAAAGATTGAGAATAAAATAATTCAAAATAAGTAACGCAGTTCCAAGTTGGTAAGTTTAATATTCTAGTAAAATCTACCAATAGACTGATCTTCTGAAGTTTAAAAAAGAAAGTGTCCTAAGTGTGATAAACGGGTTAAAACATTTAGCAAGAAAGCTCTAGGCAGATGGAGATGTGAATCAGAGCATTGTTAAATATGAAAACTAGCCAAAGTTCGAAGTTGCAGATATTAATTTTCCCGAAATAATTGGAACTTGTTCATAGATCTCGATGTTAGTTGAAAAGAAGTTTTCCTATGTAAGTTTTAAATCATCAACTAATTACCTATAATTATAGCAAATGCAATTCAATGAGTAGTTCTTTGGTTACAAGGTAGTCCTATTCAAAGGAAGAGATAGGAATACAAGGTATCAAACTGTTGTTTAGCTCAGGTAATTTTTTCTACTTAATTTAATAAGAACTCTTATATATGGTTAAGGGGGTGTTGAAAGCCTTAGAAAGATATATGAAGAATACAAAAGGGTTTCCTAGAAAAAAGGAAAATCTACAAATTTAATGCTTGTAGAAAAACGATCTTCGGTTTAAGATTCATAAAATGGTGAGGAAATGGGATAGTCTGAAAATGAAGATAACAACTCATTTCTTGATGATGGTTCTGGATTTGTATCAGAAAATAATGCTGGAGACCTTGAAAACGAATTGTCAATTGAAAAAGACGGATTAATTTAAGCCAAAGAGACTATTTAACTTGGGAAAAATTTTGTAGTCAAAAAGCACAATCTGAGTACTGTATAGGAGAGTGAAGAGCATCCCTTTTCAAAGAAAATGGATATGGCATTGTAATTTATAGATGATATGCATGATAAAGTCATCTAATTTGAAAATTTTAATCATTCATTGGATCAAAGTGAAATAGAAATTCATAACAATCTTGAAGAGAAAAGAAGAGAGCAAAAAAACAGGCTACTATTTCCATAATAAGATGCTGATTAGAGTAAGTCATAAGAAAACCTTAAATTGATTATTATTAGATAGAGCTAAAACAGCAGCAGCTGGATCATTTAAAAACTAGATTTTAAGTATGAATGAGACTTTTAACTCAACCTCTTCTCTGAATGGAGGATAAAGTCATACATATAGATAGAAATTAGCCTTAAGAAAGCAAAGAGAGCTTGCAGCAGCGTAAGAATAATAATGCATTATTATTTTTAGAAATGGTTTCTTCAACAAAGGCATTTCAGATTTTGGATTTATTAACATGATATGTGAGACTAATAAAGAATTCAAAATAGTTGATACAAGACTTCATAAGCTTAGAATTTAAAGACTTGGAAAATCTTCATCGCTACCAACACTTGAGCTAAAAAAGATTTCAATATAATAGCATCAAGCAACCAATAACAATAGTATTCTTCACAGTGCCCATAAATCTAATAAGAAACCAAGAAAAGAGGATGTAAAACATATTTACTAAATAAAGAATGTTTAGGTTTAGAGTAATGATCAGAAGGACAAAGGTGATTTTAATAGTAAACTCGGTTCTCCAATAGTTCTCAGGCCGTAAATCCTGAGGAATGCATTCTCACAGAGCGCATAAAATCTAAATATTGACGGCTAAATGAGGAAATTTATGAACAAACGAGCTGTCAACGCTGATGAATTTTTACAAGTGTATAAGAAAAAAGTTGAAGACTTCAAGAAATCTTAAAAGGAGCAGAAAAGAGAACTTAATAAAAAATAGAAAATGCTTTTAAATTGATTGCATTCATTAACATTGATACAAATTGATAATTTTAATTTCATTAAATCAGAATTGACATCTATTTTCAAATGAAGGGGTTTTGGGGTTTTGGGGTTTTGGGGTTTTGGGG